TCGCGGATTTTGCATGAGTGGCATTTCGTTAGACTTTTATATAAAATATGCTTTTTAGTAAGCTAACCTGCATTGAATCCATTCTTGATTAAGGAAAAGTTGGGACAAAAACCTCGTTAGACTTATTTCATTATTTTCGTTAGACTTAAGTAGTAAATATACAATTTAAAGAGCTAACTCGCGCAGAATCAATTCCTGATATAATATCGAAATTAAGATTCTAGAGCTGTTAGAAGGTTTTCTAATATAATAAAAAAATTGATATGTTTTCTGAGGTTGGAAAACCCACACAGAATTAAGAAATATAATATCGAAATTAAGATTCTAGAGCCGTTAGAAGCTTTTCTAAAATAATGAAAAAAAAACGATATGCTTTCTGAAGTTGAAAAAGCCACACAGAATTAAGAAAATATAATATCGAAATTAAGATTCTAGAGCCGTTAGAAGCTTTTCTAATATAATAAAAATAATCAATATTGTTTTTAACGTTCTGTGACCCACACACACAATATTTCAGTGGGGGGTCAGACATTCTGTCCTCAAACCCCCACTTTCACATTGTGTTAACCTTAAAGTATAAGTATAAAATTAGTTATAAATATTATAAAAAAATCATATTATTTTAATATCTAATTATTATAAAAAGATTTATTAGATTTATTATATTAAGATATATCTAATAATAATATTTTTAATTTTTTAAATTAGTAATAATTAATAAATATTAATTTTTTAATTTTAATTTTTTAAAATAACTTGTTATTTAATGATTACAAAAAAAAAATTAGTTTATTAAATTTATCTTATTAAGGTCTATTACATGATTATATTTTTATATTTCTGAGATCAATAGATAGCAAAATATATAAGTTTAAACTTTTAATTTTTTCATAATAATTTATTATATATTTATCTTTAAAATATCACTAATTAATTACATTTTTTTTAAATTTTTACTTAGAAAATATTATAAATATATTATAAAAATATTAATTTAAAATAAGTTATTTTAAAAATATTATAAATAATTTTAATCATTTATAATAAAATTCTAGCAAATTTGCTTGCAATATATTTAAAATACTAAAGATCTATTAAATAAGATTAATAAAATATATAAATTTTAAATTCTAACCTTTTTTTATAATAATTTATTATATATTTATATTAAAATGTTATAAATTATTAAATAATAATTTTAAAAATTACAGATAAATTTCTAAGTTAAAACCAATAAAGAAATAAATTTTAATAGATAATTTAAATTTGATATTATTATTATTAACAATTTTAATAATTTTTATATTATTATTAAATATGTTAAAATTTTATTAATATTATAAACTTTATTAAAATTATTAATAATAATAATATTATTTATAATTATAAATAAAGATTTTATTTATTATTATAAATAAAGATTTTATTTATTATTATTTTATATTTATAATTTTAATAATTATATAAAATTTTATAATATTAATTAATTAATTAAATATATATATAAATAAATAAAAATATTAAAAATTCTTATTATTAAATAATAATTTTTTTTTTTAAAAAAAAAACTGTATTTATCTATTATTCTAAATTATTTATAAGAATTATATTATACAAGTTTTTGATTTAATATATTAAATATTGAAATATTAATATTTTATATATGAATACTTACTTTAATTTGCTTTTTAGATTAATAATCTAGCAAATATTAATTTTAATACAACTTTTATAATCTAACTATCCATTAATTCCAAAAAATTTGATACCTATATCATCAGCACTAGTACCTTGAAATGTCTGTGCTACACCTTTTTTCACTAATATATCCAATGATTTCATTAAAATTATCTGATCCAACTTATGAAATTCTTTATATATTAAATAAAAAAGAAAGAGTCTTTGTTAAGAAATTAAATATCAATCAAAAAAAAAAAAAAAAGATTTTCGTTTATATTTACCCAAGCCTTCAGTAGTATCCCCATGTGCAATTTCATATACTGTTAATATAGAATTCGTCATTCCAGCTTCAAATACCTGTTAATTAAAAATAATAAATTCGATTTATTAAAAATTATTTGAGAATTAAAAATAAAACTTAATATATTATAATAATATAAACCCAATTATTAATTAAGGTTGCCCATTCTTCTGGTTTTCTCCAATAAATAATTGCGGTAGTTTTTTTAGGTGGTGAATCCCATTCTGCCATTCCTAGATTAAAAAAAAATTATGTATTTAAATAATGATCTAAAGAAAAAATAAAATAAAAATAAAATTTAAATTTAAATCAAACCTTGTTTAACCATTTCGTCAATTATCATTTTTAATGTATCAAGCTTTAATCTTCCTATTAAAATGCGAAATATATATATATATATATATATATATATTTAAAAATTAATCCAAAAAAAAAGAAAAAGAAAAATCGACAATTTAAAATACTAACGATTAATTCCTTTATTATAAAACAATTCACTATTTAATGCTTCGGATAATTCAAGACGATATAATTTGTGATGTCTATAATATGATAAAATTATTTCTGACCAAAGCGCAACTTGATTTTGCCATGTTGTTTGAGTTGGTTGAAATCTATATATTACAAATTTGAAAGAAATATTATTTATTTATTCTGATAAACTTTTTACGAGTAAACTTACGTATAAAACGGTGGAAAGTCATGTATAGAAGGAAAAGCAAAAGAATTCGACATTATATTGAAATACACAGTTTTTCTTTAAACGAAATTAAAGAAATCAACAAAGTGACAAAAAATTGCAGGGGTTCAAAAGATATAACTTGTCATGTGATAGACGAATTTTATTTAACCCCAGAAAAAATTATTTCTGTGTTCTTTAAAATCTTTTATTGTGTTAGAAAATGAACCTTTATTCATAATATAAATCAAATAACAGGTCAAGAAAGCATCTATACTAATATGGCTAAAAAAAAAGATCAATAAATAATTTTGTTATCATTGTAGCATCGAGATTTTATTTACTTGGGGCTCGGCTCCATTAATCCCAATATTGAAAGCTTGATTTACTACATGTATTGATCCACGACAACTTACTGGCGTAGCATATAATTATAAAGTATCCGGTTATTAAAGAAGCCACATGGTCAACTAATATTCTTTAGAATCTTAATAATAAATGCTGAGCGAAACCATTTTGCTCAGCCACGCGTCAGTCGAAAAAAGTTAACGTACGGATCATAAGAAATCGAATATTGCCGTTTATAAGAGCTTTTTATTATGTTATGATACGTTTTCTCATCCACTTCAAGATAAAATAATTTACCAAGATAACATAAAAATTCATTGTTTTTAATTTTATTTGGAAGGAGTAAATTATTTCTCTTGTTCCCTCCATAAAATTTAATTTAAAACCACTGTTATTTATTTATTACATAGACAAATATGGTTCAAAGGTGTTGTTGCTTGTAAGTCATCAGTTATGAATTTATGTACCTTCTTTTTTTCTTTTTAATTCTTATGATTGAATTCTTAATTTTTCAGCATCAAACTTCGTACTGGGGCAATCCTTATTTCACTTCTTGTTCTAGTAAGTAGTTATAATCTGTTATCGTTTATATTTATACAAATAAATCAATCGTTCCAATTTAGGCTCAAAGTTTTGCCGGAGCATATGTCGCATTTTCTTTTGTTGATGGTAGGTGCTTCCTTGATTTCAATTTGGCAACGTGACGAGTATTATGATTTCTAAATCTTGTGTATTTAGCGGCTACGAAATTTTCGAGAGTACTTGGATATTTTCATGGTGTTTGGAATATTATTAGAGGGGTGATAGCTCTCGGAGGACTTTTTGGTGCCATTACGGTAAACGAAAAACTTTTAACCTAAATTTCTTTCATTCTTGAAAATTTAAAAATTAAAAAATTTATTTTCACGTTCTTATAGCAAAATCAAAAATTGATTAAATATTTCGCAGTTATTGTTAGCGCCAGCGCAATGTTTTATTTGGTTTTTGGAATATCAATTTCGATAATTAGTATCAAAAATAAAGATACACTTGTGGATATGTGTGTGCAAAAATTTAATGAACAAGCACAAGAAGGAAATTATTGGAGTCCAGTTAGTCATTGGATGAAGCCATATGAAAAACGACAAGAAGCATCGGCAAATTCTACTGATAATGCAAATTTTACTAATGATGTAATTCCTCAAAATACTCAATCGGAACGAGAATTATGTCAACAAGGTGTAAAGTTTTACATTGGATTTGCTATTACATATACCATTCTCGGTTTCTTACTTATGGTAAGTTTTATATTCCTTTTTCTTTTTTTTCTTATTTTTTCTATCTTATCCTGTTAATACACCTTTTTTTTATAGTTTTATTTTGCATCAGTGCTTAAGGATTTCGGTAATGAACTTAAAAAAGCAGATATGCTTAATTATATAAAAGAGGATGAAAGAAACGTTATTCCAAAACCACCACCAAGAGGAATTTCTTCTGATAATTAGTTATTAAATTTAACAAATAGAGTTATTTACATTAAATGTAACAGTTGCATAAAAAAAAAAAAATTATTATAGAATTAAATAGAACTTCTAATCCAGTGAATTGGAAAATCATCTTCGTGTAACCCATTTAGATATATTTTGATATATTTATTAATAATATTTATGTAAGTGACTACATCAATAAAAGAATTGAAGAATTGTGTAATAATAAATATGAATACTTGGGTTTCTTTCTCCAACGCTTTATATTTTCCCTTTATCTTACTAATAATTTACAGTTTACTTACTTAAACAAGATGAGTATTATTAGTGACGCGGAGAAGCAGCAATATTTTCAAGTATTTTCTTCCCTCGGACCCATAAATGGCTACCTTTCTGGTATGTCAAGTCTACATGGTCGAATTTTTCTGAAAAACAAAACTTTTAATCTTAAATTTTAATCCAGGTAACCAAGCCAGGAATTGGCTCATGAACTCAAATTTACCTGTACAATGGCTCGAAAGGATATGGCAAGTTTTTTTTATTTATATTACTTTTTAAAAGAAATTTATTTCTTTTAATGAGTTAATAAAAAAAAAAAAATCTTTTTTTTTCCTTAAAACTTAAAGGGATCTTTGTGATATTGACAAAGATGGACAACTTGACTTTGATGAATTTTCAGTCACATATAGACTAGTCAATGATCTATTGGCTCAAATATATCCGGATGTCCCTCTATCATTACCTCCTCATTTAATTCCACCAAGTAAGGCTCATCTCTTTGGGGGAGGTGGCACCGGATTCCACGGAGGCTCAACATTAGGCATTAGTCCCAGGATGATTCCTCAAACAATTAGTTCCATCCCACAATCAATTAGTCCAATTCCATTATCGATCAATCAAATTTCTCAGTCAAATAGTCCTTTACTTTCTAATATGATGCCTTCATATTCACAATCACAACAATTACCGCAGGTACCTCCTCCGCCTCCCTCGCTGTATCATCAAGTATGACCAATTCTTAGTCTGAATGTTGCATAAACATCTGGATATGTTTATTAAGAATAAAAATTTTTTTTTTTTGATAGTCTTCAAGTAGTAGTTATGGTGGCTTTCCGACAGCACCGTTATCAGATGATTTTGACTGGTATATGCCTCCTGCAGATAAGTTCAATTATGAAAATGAATATTCTAAGCATGTTGGGGCCCATGGCTATGTTCGATGTTAGTTATCAATTTATTTATTTATTTATTTTTTGTTATTGAAATTCAAGCAAATTTTTTCATTTTGATTTACATAAAAATCAATTTTAATTGTTTAGTTGCGAATTTCGATGAACTTTATCAACGACTTGGAATACCGAGAGAAGAGTGTATAGCGGCATGGTTTTGAATCCTTATTAATTTTATTTGTTATGATATGTTTTCTTAAATGTGTATGACTTTAACTTTATGATAAATATTTAGGAATCAAGTCGATGTTAACTTTGAACAACAACTTGGAAAAGATCAGTGTCTCGTTTTCCTTCACATATTAAATCAGCGAAGTAAGGGGAAGCGTATACCTGATAGTTTACCTAGCGCGTTAAAAACATCATTAGTAAGAGGAAAATTGAATTATAATTATAATGAGACTCTTGATCCTTCATGGAAGTCAAAGACATCAGAAGGTACTAGCATTTCAACTAGGTCAAGTTATGGACAATCTCATTCTGGTGGTATGCGAAAATTTTCATTTTATGATGATTTCTTATATATAAACCTTGAATTTAACGGATTATGATTTTAAACTAGGCAAATGGGAAGAAGAACAACTGGAGAAGGAATTAGCTAAACTAAATGAAAATTTAAAGAAAGCGGAAGATGCTGCATTAAATTCGTATACAAGTGCTTTACAAATATCATCTGGTGGAGGTCAAACATCGGAATTTAAACAACTTTATGAATATAAGCAAAAGCAGCTTGCAGAATTAAATGAAAAAGAACATTTAAATAGAACTTTAGAAGAATATATTCGAAAGGAACGCCTTTCTGTACGTGAATTACAAGATAACATTCAATCTTTGAAACTTCATGTAAAAACTTTGGAAAATACTTTGGAAACTAATCAATCAGAATATAGAAGGCTTCAGCAAGATGTAAATCTTGGACGATGATATTTTAACTAATTTATTTGTTATAATTATAAAGAAATTTTTTTGGATTTTGAGTATTTATACAGATGGAAAACTTATAATTGAGCACGTGCCTATTTTTTTTTTATTTTTTTTTTTCAAAGGTTCATCATACAAACGTACCATATTAAAAATAAAATTGAATTAAGAAAATTATCTGATAACAACTTTCATGCTTTGATCAAATGTAAAGTTCCAAAGATATATTTTGAGGTTTTCTATTATATAATTCTCCTGCGAAAGTAATTTTTTGATCAATTACAATAAAAGAAGCAACATCATGATCTTTTTCACAAAACTGACCTTCCGCTCTTAGATTAGTCTGCTCTAAATCATTGAAACACGTGTTTGGTAAAAGTAACTGAATATCCAAATCAAGAAACAATAATAAACCTAATTCGGAAATCTGTTATTTACAAGTTACACATAAAAATCCTATGAAATTCATTTCATCTAAAAAAACTTAAAAAAAAACATTCAACATGACTGAAGAAAAGAATGATGATAAATTAGAGTATTATTTTATTTTTGTTAACTTTTTATAATACATACATACATATATATATATATAAAACTAATTTAATAATTTAAATTAGATTATCGGAACACGCAATATCAGCATTAAACGAATTTCTTTCAGAGCAACAAGAACAACAGATAAAATTCGAACAATTAAAGGCTAAATCTTTATCTTGTATACAAAACTATTTAGAATCCAATTCACAAGATTCGAAACAAGACAACAAAGATGATGATAATAATACGGAAATTAATATAGATTTTTTTAAAGAAGATTGGCAGGTATGATGTTTTATTGTTATAAGTTATCAAGTGAACATCCAAGTTGATAGATTATTTCTTGTTAATTTGAATAAAGCTGAGTCAATTTTGGGTAAGTCGATTATTTTTGTTTTTTTTTTAAAAAAAATAAAAATGGATTTGACCATTAAAAGATTTTATTTCAACTTAATTAGTACGATGAAGTGACATCAAACTTTTTAGCTCAAGAAGTTCTAACTAATACCAACCCAGACAGTCGGATAGCATGTATCAGCACACCAACAGCATTCGTCAAACTAAAAGTACGTTCTTATATCTTTAAATTTTTCTCCTTATATATATATATATTAATTGCATTATATTTAAATAGTCAATAAAACCAACCCCAAAACAAACAATCTGTCTCTTTGAATTTGATACAAGATTTGATGTGTATGGAACGGATTTTTATACATACGATTATAAAAACCCTACTAACTTTCGTAATTCCCAAGAATTAAGAAATTCCTTTGATTTTATATTAGTTGATCCTCCGTTTTTAAGTGAGGACTGTTGTACTAAATCCATGATAACGGTTAGATGGCTTGAGAAAAGAGGAAATTGTAAAATTTTACTTTGCACAGGTAACGATATCATTCAAATTTTTTCGTTTAATAAAAAATTAAAATTAGTCTAAAATATAATCATCTCTTTTTAGGAGCTGTAATGCGCGACCTCATTTATAGATTAATCAAAGCAAAAATGTCAACTTTCATACCACAGCATAAAGGTGGTTTGGCAAATGACTTTCGCTGTTACTCAAATTATGAAAGCCAAAATATTAAATGGGTAAAAGATGAATGAATAGATTAATAAAAAAAAAATTTTTTTATTTCTTGATTACTATGGTTCTCAAATAATTTCTTGTATTAGTTAAGATAATTCACTTTGCAATAAAAAGGGAAAAAAAAATTAAATTTACAGATATTTTCTATATTGATTATAGTAAGAGATCATATTACTTCTCAAATAAATGCTACAAAAGAAAATTTTATGTAAGCATACAAGTAAATTTGTTATTAACCTTTTAACTAAATAGTTATGATTAAAAGGATTATATATATACATACCAAATATTATTTTTGAATATTAATAATAATATATTATTATAAAAATGAGATTATTATTTTTATAAATATTTACATTCTATTCCTTTAATAATTTTTCTTTTAAATTTGGTTGCAATTTATTTGTTACTTAAAATAATATTTAACATATTAAAATTATTTATCAAAAAATATTTTTATTATAAAATTTATAATATTTTTTAAGTAAAATCAAAAATCAAATTCATATATTTAAAAAAAAATGTATTTTTAATAATAAATTGTACATTTAAATAAAAAAAACAGTTAGATAAAAACTTTTTTATTTTTAATTAATTATAAAATTCAATTTATATAATTGAAAACTTTAATTATTTACAATAAAATATTTTATACTAATTATTTTTCTTTTATAAAATAACTATTAATAATTATTCTATCTAACTTTATATAAAATTTATTAATAAAATAATTATTATTTAATTATTATTAAATAATTTATATTATTAATATATATATATATTAAAATAATTTTTTATTATTAAATTTTGAATTTAATTACATTTTATCAATTTCATCATAAATTTCATTATAATAATTTGCTTTTTTTAAATTAGTTTAATTAAATTTTAATATATTAAATAATATTATTAAATTATATTAAATTATTTTATATATATTTATTATATATTAAATAATAATATCATTTTTCATTAATTATTAATTATTTTTATATGATCATTTGCTATATTATAAAATTTTGCTTTGTAAATTTTAAAGAAAAAATTATAGATTTATATAAATTAAAAATAAATATATATTTTTATATTATATATAAAGTAATTTATAATTATTTATAAATAGTTCTTACTATAAATTATAATTAATAATTAATTTTTATTAATTAATATATTAATATTCTATAATAATATTTATATTATATTATTATAATTAATTATTTATTTATAATTACTTATAATTTAATTTAAAAAAGATCAAGTTATATAATAAAATTTAAATTTAAATATATTTAAATCTAAATTATTAATTTAGTTTAAAATACTAAAAAAAATAGTTTTAATAAGTATTATTATTTAAAAGTATAGTAATTTTTAAATAATAAATATAAAAATTGAAAAATTTATATTAAAAATTTATTAAAAATCTATAAAGTTTAATAATTATAATAAAATTTGTAAAAATTTGTAAAATTTAAAGTTTAAATATTTATTTAATTTAAATAAAAAATGATATAAAAACTTTGATTAATAAAATTATTTTTATAATTTCTGATAAAAAGAATGATAATAAAAGTAAAATATGATACTTTAAATATAAAGTTAGCATTTTCTGATTAAATTTATCAAATAGGTATTTAGAATACTATTTTAAAAAAAAATTAAAAAATAATTATTAATATTTATTATATACTTATTTTATTTTCTAAATTACTATAATATTAGGTACTATTCAAGCAAATCTAATCTTAATTTAAAGATACTTTATAAAATGAAAGATACTTTGTAAAAGAAATACTACATTAGAAAAATTTAATAAAAATAGATATTAATTAATAAATTATATAAATTTAATAATAGTTTATTATTTTTTTTTAAAATTTAATGCTTTTTTATTTATAAGAATTAATATTCAAATAATGTAAATTTTATAGATAATGAAAGATTTTACAATATTATGCAAATTTTGTAAATAATGTAATTTTATAAATAACATGATTAAAATATTTCTGAAGTTTTTTTTAATTTTAACTTCATTTATTTGTATTTTTTATTATTTCATAATCATTACTATTTCCTTTTTATTTTATAATAAAATATAATAATTATATACAAGTAAAAGTATAAATTGTACAAGAATCAAAAAATTGCAATAACTTATGTGATTTATATTAATTCTAAAGTATCTTAATTGAAGCTATAAGAAGTAATTATTTTTATAATATAAAAAACTTTTATCGCATTTAAAATTCGCTTATTGAATTTTTTTTATTGCTGGCTCAGAGTATTGAAATATAAATATTTAAAATAGCAAACTGAGCGTAAAATATATTAATAAGAATAAATTAGGTAAAGCAGCAAAAGGATTAGGTAGAAGAAGTTGAGAAAATAGTGGTAGCGGTAGATTTATAACATTAGTTAGTATCCTATAATAAAGGCATATCAATTGAATATTGATAATGCATTGTTTAGGTTGCAGATTGATCTGATTTTTCCTATAATTAATAGTTTTAAATTCATATTAAATAAAAGAATACCTTAAATTTATTTTCTACAGATTTAATTTTTGCTAAAAGTATATAAAAATATAATATATCATTGTGAAATTTAATGCATCGCTAGCTATTCAATTATTTATATAATAATGTTAAACCTATTAAAAATATAAAAACAATCAGATATTATTAAAGAAAGTTGAATATAAATCAAATCTTGTTATTTCTTACTGTCATCACTAAAGGTCTTATAGCTGATGTGACAGGTTCCTCTATTTTAATTGCAATAGCATCATGAGCTTGATCACTTTGAAGTCAATAAATTTCAACTTTAGTTTTGACATCTACTTCAAATTGTAAATATGCAATTTTTACTACTAGATTCGGTTAAGGCTGAGTCTAAAAATATAATGTTAAATTACTACTATAAAATCTTAAAAATAAAATCAGTAAACGAATAAAAGCAATAACTTTTTATACACTACTTTTATCACTTCTGCTCTTAATCAATCGAGGTTTTACTACTGGTGTTTATGATATATCAGCTTCTTTATCTATTTTAGAAGTCTTTATTACTTTTATCCATTTCTTTACAATTCACATTTAATTAACACCTGTTTTATTTCTTTCAGTTTATTGTTTTTATTAACCATTGATTGATGCTTATTATCTGACCCAAAAATTATGTACTTCATCTTTGGCTGCTTGCCTCTGAGTTTTAGGTTTATCCTATTTACTATAAGTGCATCAGATTTATATGTCGCGTGATTCGAATTATTATCAAATGCAAACAAAACAATACAATTTGGAAAAAGTGTTTCAAAAATCAGTATGGCTTTCATCTTTAATTGTTTGATTAGATGCTCACTCGTCTAGAATCCTTTCTGATCTTTTTCTGGTTGAAGATAAACACAAGCTTCTTCAGGTATAGAAGGATTTTCTTAATATTGCTGTAAGTTTAATTTAAGTCAACCACATTTTCTGTTAGGAATTCACTAACTATAATGGAACGCCTATTTCCTTTTTTATGTAATAGTAATTCTTTGGACTTTGCCTATATACCTCATTTTCTATTGTTGGAGTAAAAAATATACTCATCATATATTATGAGAATTATTTTCTTTTCATTCAGTCCTAATATTGATGGTATCCGTTCCATATTTTTACTTTCATATTTTGTCATATTCTTTTCGTAGCTATAGATTTTATCTAAAAAAATTTGTCGATATTTTACATTAGGATATTTGTAACTATCATAGTATATGCCTTATATAATATCATATAATGTTAGTAACTGAATTTAATGTTTTTTAATATTCTGTATATATAATATATTTACATTACCTTACTTTTGTGACTGAAAAAAATATCTAAGTACATTAAGCTAACACATCACAGTTTCTGTACTAATGGTTTTTTTTTCATTATTCCTGAATTAATAAGTAACTTTTGTTCAACAAAATTCTTGAATTTTAACGAAGTGATTTTTCCACCTTGAGACCGAATTTACATATGACACTTTTTTACCATATCTTTATCATCTATTAGTCATAATGTCTTTTAATGTTTACCTTGGTGGTTTATTGGAAGATGTTTATATTAAAGCTAATAATTTGCCCAATATCAAATAGTTCTTGCTTTATATGGTACACTTTCAATAAAAATTAACTCTACAGCTTCTATACTGACCTTCACTATTCCTTTTCTATTATTATCTAATTTTCTTAAATATTCAAATATCACTTGTTTTTTGTTATATTCAGCTATTGTTAATGACTTTTGCTTCTCTTTAAGTTCAATTTTTAAACTTTCAAATTTTTTTTTAGATTATTTTGTTCTTCATTTTCCATATCATTCATATCATTCAAAAATTCATCGAAATTATCTAGAATTACTTGAAGTTTATTTAAAAATGACATAATTTTAGCAGTTCCTTTTGTAGCTTTTATAAAATAATCACTAGATCCATATTTATCAAAATATATTGATTTTTTAGTTTTTTTAGTAAGGTAAGATCCACATTTTTTTTGTTCAAATTCTGCATTATCTGACTAAACTAACTTATATTTATCTTCTTTTTCACTTAACAAATCTATTTCATCATCTCACCTATTATCATTCTCATCTCCTCAATCATCAATAATTTGTAGCTTTTTTGCAAACCTTTCACTATTATCTCATTCTTATTTTTAACCTTAATTTTCCATTTTGATGAATGAGTCATTATTATCAATCGATTGATCAAAATGTGAAATATAATAGGCATATTATTTATTAATGTTAATTTAATTCAAATACAGAAAAATATAGAAAAATATAGAAAAATAGGTAAAATTAAAAAATCAGAAAAATTTTGTTTTAATGTTTTTACATTTTTAATTTATTATATAATATAATAAGTTTCTCTTTGATATTATTAATACAAGTTAAAATTAAAAACCAAAAATTAATATGGCATTTTTATCTAAAGTTTTATAGAATCTCACTTATATATTAAAAAAATTTGTTTATTAAAGCTCGCAATT